GATCAGAAGCATCAGTCAAATTTTACCAAAAGTTTTGGTCTTACCTTCTCTCCTACAGTGACCCGAAAGCACATTCATGCTGGTTTGTGCCTTTAAAAGTAAAGAAATGTACTCAGAAAGTCAAAAACCACAAGAAATGGGGACAAATGTGTTGTGTGGAATGCTACTTCAGCTCTTGGCCAGTTTTAACATTTGAATTGCTTGCAAATTTGTTTTCTGAGTCTATTGTTACTATTGCTTCATGTGGACTGATCCTTGTGTTCCAACCGTAGTCCTGTTACCCTATGTGAGAGGGGCTGGAAGTCTTCGCTGAGTTCTTCAGTCCTGTGTTTTACAGTTCTGTCTAGAGCCTGTGTACTAGACACAGCAGAAAATTACTTCCCCATTCTCTCCTTCCTTCCCTCTACACTCTGTAAAATCCCTGTCTGGCTATTGCAACGCCACCTCTCTTGGTGCATTATGCCAGACTCCATTTTCCTGTGTTAGGGCCCAATTAAGTGTGGGATGGTCAGGGAGGTTTATTTCTCAGAAGATTGCACATCCATGTCCTAGAATTGCTAGCCTTCAGGAACCCTTTGTTAGAAAAGCTAGGGTTAGGACACAAGTGATGGTATAGCCTCCCTGAAACACTGGCGTATTGCCCGAGTGAGAAGAGTCCAATTTTTTGATGGGGATGAGGGGAATCTAGCCTTGAAGTCTGTCTGTATCCAGAGAAATCCGATCTAAGAGACTCTGAGCCACAAAGCATTTATCTCACAAGAGTGACATCCTTCTGGTTTTTGGAGCCTGCTACACATATAGGGCTGCCACTTTGTAGACCTTTTTCACGTTCTTTAATGTCATTGATTTTGTAACTGCTAACTGACCTCAGAAGGATCTCACATCAATGCCTTGGCAATCTAATGGAGCTGTGGTCTCTGTTTCCTCCAATTTTCCTCTATGGTGTGTTCTGCAAAATCCACGGAGGCAAAGCCATTGTTGTAGAATCATTTCCACCTGGCCAGATGGATCTCCTTTTATGCTACTAGTTCTCCACTGGCACACTGGCATCCAGGCTTCAGGTACCCTGTCTCCTCTCTCAGAGAGAAGGATGGCCATACATTTCAGTACCTTCCAGGCAAAATGCAAATCCCGCTTTTTTGAGCAAGATATCCATCAGTAATACTAGATTTAAAAGGGGGAAAAATACAAAATGAATTAAGCCCAGTTCCTCCTGACTGGGAGGAGAGATTATATCTCTGTGCAGGTGATTATATCTCTTGTGGAAGGTGCTCAGATGCTGCATTTATGAGGGTTACATAAAAACCTATGTGTATATAGATGAGGCTGAAAAGGATCTTTGATACCTATGAGAGGACACAAAGTGATTAAAATTAGTACCTTGTACTTAGAGCACCTTTCACTTGAGGATCTCAATACTCCTTAGCGGAGCAGTGAGGATGAACATCCCAACTAGTTTTAAATTTGTGAATGGGATTACATAATGGGGTTGCCTGCAATAGCCAAGGACTGTACTTAATGACCCACAAGGTCCCTTCCAGTCCTATGATCCTCCCCAAAGATAAGGTGCCAGTGGTGTGGGAAAGGCCAATTTAATGGTTTCTACTCCTGTGTAATTCATACTTTCCTAAAACTTGGAAGATATGGTCTTCTCTCCATTATAGAAAATGGAACATGTTCTTTGTATGTTGCCATAAAGCATTAGGGCCAATTCCTGTTCCCCTGATCACATCCTTCACTTTCTCCAAGAGGGTCTTGACAAAGTCCTTGCTGTCAGCACCTTTTGTGTCCAGATCCCTTCGCTCGCTGCTGTCAAAGAGAACACCATTGGGCCTCATCTGCTAATAGAAGGCTTCCTTCAGCTTTGTGTAAATAAGCCTATCTGGATACCTGTTTTGGACTCATTTGGAGTCTGAATTTAGTTCTCTCCTACCTTCAAGACTCGGAAGTGTCAGTGAGTTTTCTATTGGCTTTTTAGTCATTTTTCTAGATAATATTGTTTCCAGAAAAGGATCAGCAAGTTGGCAGCTGTCTCTGTATCTCCTCTCCCTTACTCTCTTTCCACAACAATAAGATGATAGAGGGAGAGGGAACATCTTGGTACTCAGTCAGGAGTTAGTTTCTGTGGCAGCCTCTGTACACTATGGCCTTGAGGTTCTATCTGGAAAGAATTAGAGGAACAGAAATCTTTAAATAGTTATTCTATTGGACAGAATCAGGGATGAAGACAAGGCCTCTAAAAATAAGTTTGGCCCACTGGATTAAAACCTCTAGATCAAGTGTTCATCTAAAGGGATCCCCTGCTCCCCAGAATATTCACCCACGGTAGAAAAAAACTGCAAAGGTGTTTTTAAGAGCTCTCTCTTTTCTCTTAATTGGTATAAATGCGTAAGCAGAGGAGGCGTTGAGTGTTGAGAGCAATTGTCTTTGTGTCATTATCCTCATGTTAGAGTAGACAGATCCTTGACTGGTATATCAGAGAACGCAAACATTAGGATTTTACATCTTAATGTTTCTGCACCTGAGAAACACCAGCGCAAAACAGGGATTCTCAAACTTTGTCACAATGAGCTTCCCTAAGCTTAGAGAGAGAAAAAATTGCACCTCCCAGCCCCCCATTGTTTACAGTGACAACACAAAACTGAAAATCCTATACTTTGCAAGAATACAAATAATAATGTAGCAGTGTATGATCAATATAGTTAAAATAAGGGTCTGAGTATCAAAAGTACTAATTTTATTGCATAAATTATTTTTCATGCTATCTCACAGTTGTGTTCCAAAAAATACAAACTGTAGCAACTAAAATAAAACTGCACAAACATTTTAGGAAATCATAACACCATTGACTGTGTGACACCGCCCCAGCTGTCCTGGGCTTACAGGCAGGGAATAGGGCCCCCCATTTAGTGCAGATGGCCCGGCAGGTGGGGGCGGGGCAGGTCAGAGCATGGCAGTCAGAGGTTCGCCAGCACTTTGAGTTCCGCATAGGTCTGGTGCAGCAGGAAGTCCATCAGGGTACTAAGCTGGTAGCCGGGACTGAGCTGGGCTGCTGCTGGCCAGGACCAGCTGGTTACTGTCTAGCTGTACTGGTGCCATAGGGGAGGTGGTGTGTCAGGCTGAGCGGGAATCATGCAGGGTTCATGGCTCCCCACTGCCACAGGGACCCCCATGGTGGCTTCTCCCTGTCGCAAGCAGCCAAGCTCCAGCACCAGGGATGGAGAGGAAGGCAGTGCCAATAGCTTCTGCAGAGCTAAGAGCCGGCTTTGCATAAGGGCTGCTGCCATGATAGGGGCACCAGCTGGAAATGAACAGCTGCAGCAGCTGAGGAAAGAGAATCCTTCTGCTAAGCCCAATTCATCCAGCCCTGCAGCCCAGGGATGAACAGCAGCTCAGTAGCAAATGGAAGGGATATTGCAGGGCAGGGCTGAGACAGGAGTGGAGGGGAGCCCCACGTATGTGGCTGGGCTGGGTGGAAGGGGATGGAAGGGAGCCCCTGGGATATTGCGGGGTACTTCAGCCAAAGAGGAGAACCCCAGGAGATGGAGGAGCCCCAGCTGAACTGGTGAGCAGAGCACAGGGGGAAGATGGCAGGGATGGGAGGCCTTGTGTTACTGGAGAAAAGATGGGGAATCAGGAGAATCCCTGTGCTGCTGTAGGGAGAGATAAGTTGGGGGCTGGAGCAGGGGAGCCCCTGCAAGCTGCTTCCCCCACAGACCCCTGGCTGGCCCCTGTCCCAGCACTTTTTTGTCCTCTGGACAGAGCTCTGGCTCCTTCTGCCCTGCCCCCAGGCAGGACAGAGCTCTGGGTCTACTCTGGGAGCACTTAACCGCTGGCCAAAAGGCAGGTAACTGGTGCCTGTGCCTCATTGTTTGAGAACCTCTGGTCTAGAGTGACCCTCCCTGGTGCTGCTGATGCCCTTTCCATTATTGTTACTTTGATAGTTCTATGTCATTAGTGTTTCGTGTTCATGTTTAGGAATAGGTAAAGTTTCCACATGCCTCCAGACTCTCCCTCGAGTTTAGCTTCATGGTAAGTGTAAATCATTACACAATGTAAAGTACAGTTTAAAGTTATTTCCCAACCATGGCTGATGTAGAGTTTTTCCCTGCAAGGCCTCTGTTGCAAACTTCAATTTCCTCTGCCCCTAGAGGGCTCAGCCCCTCTTAATCCTAAATCCACATGCTAGTATGCTTCAGCAGTAATTGCGCTGTACTTTCATGCATAGTTCAAACACCTGATAAGACAGTGATTCAGCAAGTGGCTCTGCATCTCTATGCATTGTCATAAAGTCTGTCAACCTATTACAAGAGGTTCATAATCACTGTTTTCTTATTATTCCTTTTAACCATCGAATAGACAAATGGTAAGAAAGCTTCAGCTAAGAGTCCCAGAGACAGGACAGGACCAAAACTTTTGCTTCTGTTTGGCGCTTGTATGATGTGAGCAGATGATTGTGCATTCCTCACTGTTGTAGCAGATGTAGACAAGACTTCCTTGCAGATAGTTCTCATTCATGTTTTGGATTTAAATCAAATTAGCTTGAATGCGTCAACATTTTGAAGCTGTAACTGTATTTTTATGACATAATTTGAACTATAGTTATCAACAGATCTTCTAAGACCGAAAAAGTTTTAAGAATGAAAGGGAATTTCAAACTGTCATTGGGTAATTCCACAATAACAGTTACTAGTGCTTGCTGGAACTAAAATGTATCTAGCTTAATGATTGTCCGATGGTTTTTAGAGGAGAACAAACACTATGATAAACAAAGATAGGAAAAGACTATCTTTGCTTCTTTGTGAATCATTCTTTAGAGTTTGAAAGGTAATTGAAAGTTTTGGAATTTAGATTGTAATTTAACATGGCACAGTAAGAGAAAATAAATGAGTTTTTCAGCATGGTTATAAATGAAGGTTTGTTGAATATTTCTATTTGGTTTAGGACTAACTTTTAATTGTTCACTTTTATATATGGAAAATGTTCTCCTTCCTTCTTAGCCTTAGATTGTAAGCAAAAAAAGTCAAGATCAAGATCTGGAAGCAAGAAAAAAATGCTGCCATTACCTCATAGTGCTGATGAAGTTTACATACTCCGATGCAGGTATATGCAGGATTTTTATAATTGGTTAACTGAAATTACAGAATCTGGGGTTGTTTTTTTTTAAAAAGAGGTTATATATTGTTGCTTTTACATAAGAATATTCAGAAGTATATATTGTAACTGCATTTGATTTAAAAAGTCAATATTGAGCAAAACAAACAACTAAGTTTAATATTACAGTAACCTAAACAAAAAAGAACCTGAAACAGTCTTACATTTTGGAATAGATTTTTTTCCCCTCTCCTGGCTGAAAATGTGTTTTCCATATTTCATATTTGGGCAGTGTTCTTCCCCTGCACAAAACAAACAAAAGCCTATTAATGGAAATGGGCCATTAACTATAGCATTACAAATGTGAAGGTATAATTTGTAGTATAAACTTCAATCTTGTGTTTATATCTTCATAGTCATTTGAAACAATTATCAAGTATTGTTGAATTAACCATGAAACCATTAGGGTTTTCATCTAAAAAATATATTAAAATGAGCTTTTAGGAGAAAAGTTTACTTTCTGTATAATTCTTAATCCTTAGCAATGTCTGCTGACCTGTACTTTGTTTAATGCTAATATATCTTCTTGATGGAGTGATTTTAAAATTTGCACAGGTTTTGTGGTCTGGTCTTTCGAGGACCATTGTCTGTTCAGGAAGACTGGATAAAGCACTTGCAGAGACACATCGTCAATGCAAATCTTCCACGGACTGGGGCTGGCATGGTTGAGGTCACATCGCTACTTAAAAAGCCTGCTTCAATTACTGAAACTTCGTTTTCTTTACTGATGGCAGAAGCAGCATCATAGAACAAGGAAACCTTTTAAATTTGAATTGGATGTAAATTTGAAATACTTTGTCATTTTTTAAAAAATATTGCTACACTAAATTATGTTTATAAATCCTAAAGCCAGAGAAGTAGGGAAAGTGAATTACAGTAACATCAAAACAAATTGAGTACTTAACAGTTACAGTAAGTAGTCTTTATATTTTATATAGGGTGGCAGATGTGTTTTTAAGGTTTACTATGTTTTTGTCAGTTACTGTGTTCACTATCAATACAAGATCATTACATGTAAGCAGCCATTTTTAAATTGTTGCACATGGGTACTTATAGACAGATTTTATTAAAAACAAACCATGCCCTCTGCAGTGTTACCAGAATCAAGGCTCTGTTTATTCAAAAAAACAAACACACACAAACCCCACTTGCATAGTAAAATAAGATATTATATTTTGTTTGTATGTATGTAGTGTTTTGTATAATACCAAGAACCGCTAATACAACTTACTCAACTTAGGGCATTAAATATCATGTACTTCATAGTTCAAGAGACTGTTTCATTCAAATAGGGCAATTAGTACTATTCTATCTAGGTGTGTAAGTGTTTTTTTAAAATCATGAGGCTTTTTTGTACTAAAAAGTGGAGGGAAACTTGTTTAAACAAATATTTCTAAGAGAAATATGTACATAGTACTGGAAATTATTTGTGGTAAGGAAGTATTCTTTACTTCAGTTGCATTTCTCACTGACAATAAAGTGGTGCATCCATGCTACCTCCTACTTTGTCAACAAAGATGTTATTTACCCTTTACATTTTTGTATCATAGTAGATTCAAATCTAACTTTCTTTATTGCAAAGCATTTTTTTTGTTAAAGTTTGTTTCCTTATGATGTTTTACTTAAAGTCTGACTTGCTTACAGAACAGTTTGCCTCTCTACTACTTTATTTAACACTGTAGAAATGTACTAATGAGAACTGCTCACTACACGGTTTAGGACTAGACTTTTCATTTATAATTCTGTTTAAATTTTTTTGATCATTTTAACAAATTTGAACACATTGAAATGTTTCTACATATGAAGAGAATGTTTACAATTTAAATTTTAGAACTTGTTTTGGATGTGATTCTATGTATGAAAACTGTGTAACACTATGCTCATGCTAAGGACCTACTTACGGAATTACTGAAATAAATGTGCTGTGAGGATGGACAATATGGTGCAGGTGTCTTGGTCATGATAAATTGTGTTTGTTCATTTAAATTGTCATCAAAACGTGATTTAATTTTTTAATCAGTAAATCAGATTCCTCTACAAATCAGTTTTGTATGCAAGTAACATTTCATTTTATTCATGTAGGGTAACTAAAACTGTAGTTAAATCAAGAATATGCATTGATATTTTCTTTATATGTAAATAAAGTTAAAAGCAGTTAAAACAAGGAGTATTTTGGTAGAGTATATACATACCTCACTGCCAGTGAAATTGCTTTCCTATGGTATATCTCCTTACCAGAAAAATCTCTAAATAAAAAGGTTTAAACAAAATCTAAATGTCTATAATGTGAAGCATTTCTTATTTGTGTTATGTATGAAATAACAGTTCATGAGAAGTTGATTTGTCTTGCTTGAGATTAGAATCTCCTCATTAGTGATCCAGAGTAGAATACATTTACTCACAACATAATATGATCTGTTCACAGATGCATTACATTTGATTGGTGTAAATGTCAGGATGATGGGTTTTTTTTATAAAGTTGAAATAATCTCCATACTAGGACTTGCTAATATCTTGCAAAAGAAGCTCTCTATATGTCTAGGCTAATGTCATTAGAGAGGTATTGTGAGGTATTCTTAGTGCAGGGGTTCTCAAACTGGGGGTCGGGACCCCTCAGGGGGTCACAAGGTTATTACATAGGGGGTTGCGAGCTGTCAACCTCCACCCCAAATCCCGCTTTGCCTCCAGCATTTATAATGGTGTTAAATATATTAAAAAGTGTTTTTAATTTATAAGGGGGGGTCGCACTCAGAGGCTTCCTATGTGAAAGGAGTCACCAGTCAAAAAGTTTGAGAGCCACTGTCTTAGTGTAACTCCCTGTGGATAACTTGAAGCTTTAACATGTCCATTATATTGTTACCTTTCTGAATCAAAAATATACCTCAAAATATTCAAAGGGTTTTTGGCTGTGGGGAAAATTTTAAAAATAGGATAACTGAAATATGTCGATGTATAGTACAAAAACACCCTACTATAATGTTGTAGGGCTTCTCTTGTTATTTAAAAAGAGTGCTGCCTCCTGATATTTTTAGGATGAGAGGAAAATCTCATAGCAATACTCCTGAGCATTTCCTTACATGTGGTTGGTTTGATATACTAAAACTGCATTTAATCTTGATTTTTTTTAATATCTGATCGTAAAACTGAGTGTCTGTTATCATTTAGGAACCGATCCTACATTGTGTAGCGCACAGGTGGACTGCTGTGCCCATGCAAAGCTCCATCTACATCAGTTGGGGTTTGCTTGAGTGCAGCAGTACACCCACACACTAGACAATGTGGGATCAGGGAACAGCCTTATTCTCTGTCTGCATAGGAGCTGCTTTAGTTGTGGATACTGAAAAATAAGTAGGTGTTTGCAAGCAACCTGTGGGATTTTGAGCTCTTGTGGTGGAAAACTTGCTTTGTAAGGTGAAGGTGGAGGATTAGAAAAAATATTCATAAGAAATGGATGTAAATTAGATAAGAACAATGAAATTACCTTGAAAGTTCAGAATGTTTTATTAGAATATTTGTTTATTCTTTTCACAAAAAGATGTTAAGCATATTCTGTGGCTGGTTAACTTATGAAAAATTCGGTGAAGCTACACTGATCATTATCTAACATTGCTAAATATGCTGATAGAGTAAAACCGTACCATGCACAATTTAGCAGTAGAAAATCTAACTAGGTTTTCAACAAGATAAATAACTTGAATTTTATTTAGTTCATTCAAACCAGGCAGTGTGTAATACCACTGAGTGAATCACTTTATGTAACATCTTCACTTTTAAAGTTAAGTTTGAAAAGCATATGGGTCTAGTCCTATAATCCTTGAATGAGGAGCTCTGCAACTTCCAGGATCAGACCCTTAAATTTTGAGAAAATGGTCTGTTTGTAATGGCTAGAATTTTGCGTAGTGTGAGCCAGAGCTGCACAATTCTTCAGATATACCCTCACTGCTAATCCAGATCTGTCTCAAAATGCGGCATCCTGCTGTGCTTGTCTTGGACTCCTACCAATATATTTTTTTTAAATATAGGCAAATCTTAGCACTCTGAATAGTTAAATTCATTGCCCTTGGGACCTACATTGGATTTGAAATGAATTATATAAAAGCGGCTTATTAAATTATCCTTAGGTCTTTTTCAAATAACCCTATTGACCCAAGATGTTAGGATTTCTCTACTCTCCAAGTGTAACTGTTGCTGGGAGTCTTGATCCCCATCAGTATTTGCTGTCAGATTCCATAAATCCCAATTTCCGGTACTATGGAGGTAATGAAAAATCTGATAGAACAGGTTTAGTTAAATCGCTCATCCTTTTTCATTTCACAGAGAAGTCTAAAATTTTCAAACTTGTGCACCTAATTCCATATTTAGGCATCTGAATAAGTGGTCTGACTTTCAGAAGTGCTTAGCATTCACAGCCCATTTAGCTCCCACTGACTTTAGTGCTTCCATTGACTCAGTAAGTTGCTCAGTATATCTCAGCCCACATTATGTAGGTTCCAGAATATGGATTTTCACACTTCGTGCTGGGCATCCAATTTGAAAAATTTGGTCTGGTGTTTGGCCTTTTCTTTTGTTTATAGCCATTACTGGTTATTGTACTTTAATATATTTATTGGTAACCAGCTGAGTTCCCATGCCTTGTCTCTCCGATGAGATCACCAGAAAGGGTGCCAATTGTGATGGATTGTTTTTGTGTTGCAGACACTTTTCCACTAGGAACTGAATGGAGATGACGACTGAATTAACATAAATCATTCTGACTAGTTTATACATGTTGCTTTGTGGCCAGTTCAAATGACCATGTTCTGCCTGAACTGATAAGGCTGATTTTATTTTTCAGTTAAAAGCGTTTATTAGATTTCTTAGGTAAAATGTATAATTCGTAGAAGAGGGATTACAGCTTTCCAAAAAGTTGGAAAGAACTGACAGGAAAAGCAAAGGGAGGGGTGATGCATAGGGTGTTTGGTGAAGTGCAAGACAGTTTTACAGTGGATCATTTTAGCATGGATGTCAAGCAATAAGGATGATTGGTCTGATTTTTCAGAGGCGCCACCTTTTAGATTTCATGGACTTCCATGGGAGTTACAGGTACTCAAAACCTCTGAAAATCAGGCCACACACATTTTCCAAAATGTTTCAGTCTTTTGTTAGCCACCCACCCTGCCAAATGACAAAATTCATAAGTCCAGTCCTCTAAGCATAGGGATGTTGAATCTTTGCATGTTTGCTGTGCTTAGGAGGCTTTAGGCAGAGTCTTCACTAGGGAGTTGAACCATTCGAATTGCACTCATGTAAGCACCAGTGGTACAGTGTGTCCACACTAGCCATGTTTCAGGCTAAAGACCGTTGCAGTTTTGCTCTGTCTCCTTATATTATGCTCTTCTACAGCAATGTAGTTGCACTGACCTCCCAATAACTATCCTAGTTTCTGGTACAGCTCTCGCAAGCTGTTGCTTCTGGCAGATTGTGGAAGGACTTCTAGAATATCCTGGGAAGCACAGGAGAATTACGGGAAAAGTCCAATTTTTGACAAGCCGTTAGGAGGCATCTGAGTGAGCTGCTGCAGAGTGGTGAAATGGTTCAGACAATACCTGCAGAGAGCTAGAGACACAAACACACATCAGGCACTTACTGCTGCTTGACACATGCATAGCTGTGTGTTTTAACTCTTGGATGAATTGCACCCGGTGAAGCACGACTGCAAGCTTGTGGGACAGAGTTGTTCTGGTGACTTGGGATGGCCAGCTCTACCTACAGAACCCTGGGATGAAAAAAGAAACTGTTCTGGAACTCTTATGCTAACCAGGGCCCAATACTACAGTGCTAAGCTTCTGTGGAAAAGAGTAGTCATCATCCTGTTGAATTTGGCCACCCCAGATTCATTACCAGTCATCTGGAGAGAGTCAGTCTGGAATCAGGAAGTCCATGGTAGTTGCTGTTCTGGTGAAAGTGTGCAAGACAAAACCTAGTGTATTGCAGGAGTGTGTGATCAAGCTGCTAATGTGCCTAAGTTTATCAAGGTATTTAAACAGTTGGGTTTTGTGAGTTGTTGATGGAAGAATCCATATATCCATTCTGTGTCCCACCATCTTCCCAAACAAGCTCAGGAATACACTTAACTGGAAGG